TTAGTATCAACAATATTTGACGCAAATGCAGACGTACCAGAACTAGCTTGCAGAATTTTAAACATTAACATGAATAAAACATTTCTAAAAATGAAGAAAGGCTTTTTTTAAAAAAAAAAACAACTATTAATGTAAACATTGCAAACTAAAAATTAAATTACAAAACCCTCTCAAAATTTAATCCTGTCATCTAAAGCAAAGCTCGTTAAAAATATTTTGAGGAGCTTAAGAAAAAAAATCCCCCCTTTCTAATAAAAAAAAAAAGTTCAGTGATTGCTTTGAAAGGATTAAAAACGTTTGATTATTCAGGTTGATTCTGAATTGTATTTATTTGCCGTTGGTGACATTGGCATTCAATCAAAAGGGATCGGCTATGCCTTATCAATACGTCTTAAGGGCCAATCTATTTTGTGAGTTTACAGTTATTATTATGTATATATAATATGCATGCAGACATACAATATATTGCTATATATTAAATTAATAATATATAGCAGTGCATATTAAATGCTGCTTTTATTGTGTGTTTGTATTAGGCTTCATTATAGGCATATGATTAATTTACTATTACTACATGGCAGATTTTGAATCTTTCATGAAGACTATGTCAAAATCATGGCCGGGGGGGGGGGAGATGTAATTTAAAAAAAACAAAAACCAAAGGTGTTTTTTCCAAAAGGAAACTGGACTTTTTTTTTTTTAATAAAAAAACATTTTGCTTCTTATCCGAGAAGTTTCTTCATGGCTGGCTAAGGAATTCTGAGTTTTGGCCCCACTTTAGACATGAGAGCTAAATGGGTGACTTTGGGCCAATCACCGGGAGACTGTGAGTTCTAGTCCCACCTTAGGCAGGAAATGTGGCTGGGCGACTTTGTGGCAATCAACCAGGGGACTGGAAGTTCTAGTTCTGCCTTAGTCATGAAAGATGGATGGTTGACTGGGCCAATCACCAGGCGACTGAGAGTTCTAGTCCCGATTTAGGTAGAAAAGCCAACTGGGTGACTTTGGGCCAATCACCAGGGGACTGGAAGCTCTAGTCCCGATTTAGGCATGAAAGGTGGCTGGGTGACTGGGCCAATCATCAGGAGACTGTGAGTTCTAGTCCCACCTTAGGCAGGAAAGCTGACTGGGTGACTTTGGGCCAATCACCAGGGACTGGAAGCTCTAGTCTTGCCTTAGGCATGAAAGGTGGCTAGGTGACTGGGCCAATTTCCTGAGGACTGGGATTCTAGTCCCGCCTAAGCTAGGAAAGCCAATGGGGTGACTTTGGGCCAATTGCCAGGAGACTGGGAGTTCTAGTCTTGCCTTAGGCAGGAAAGCCAACTGGGTGATTTGGGGCCAAATCCCACGACACCTTGAGTTTTAGTTTCACTTTAGATATGAAAGCCAATTGGGTAACTTTGGGCTGATTGCCAAGAGACTGTGAGTTCTAGTACCCACCTTAGGCAGGAAAGCTAACTGGGTGACATTTGGCCAATCACCAGGTGACTAGGAGTTCTAGTCCCACCTTAGGCATGAAAGGTGGCTGGGTGACTTTGGGCCAAGCACCAGGAGACTGCGAGTTCTAGTCCCACCTTAGGCATGAAAGGTGGCTGGGTGACTTTGGGCCAAGCACCAGGAGACTGCGAGTTCTAGTCCCACCTTAGGCATGAAAGGTGGCTGGGTGACTTTGGGCCAAGCACCAGGAGACTGCGAGTTCTAGTCCCACCTTAGGCATGAANCTGGTGTATTATGCGCCAGTATTTTGTCGGTTTGTATACAGAAATCCCACAAGATCTTGACCATCTGATCATCTGACCATCTGGTATTGAGATATTGCTTGTCAGCAGGTCGCAAAAAATGATCATATGACCCTAGGATACTGCAACTGTCATAAATATGAACCAGTTGCCAAGCATCCAAATTTTGATCATGTGACCTTAGGGATGCTACTGTAGGAAGTTAGCACCCACCCCTCTCCTATAAAATGAAATATTTTAGGCAATATTAAAAGGGCAGAATATTTCCCCCTAAAAGGGAGACTCAGCTCTCTCCCACACACCTTTGTCAATGGGCCATTAAGGCCTGAGCCAGTCTATTCTACATAACAAAGATCTACCTCCTTTAAGGCCTGAGCCAGTCTATTCTACATAACAAAGATCTACCTCCTTCAGGCAGAGCCATAGTAGGAACTCCAAAGTCCTTTCATTACATCATCACCTAGCAACAGCTCAACCAAGACTGGGAGACAGACAGCCTATGGTTAGCTAAGACCCCCGCCCCCTGGGAGTCTGACCACCAATTACCAATTACCAACCACCAATTAGAATGTATTTCTTACACAGGAACAGGAAGCTCCAAGACAGGGCCCAAGAGAGGGTATAAAACTCAGGGACTCTCAGTATCTCTGCCCTTTTTTTCTTCAAGATTTTCAAGGCATGTGATCCCCCTTAAACCATATGGTTCTGTCCATTATTTAAAAAAAACATCTATCCAACAGCCACCAGTGTCTTTCTCCCCACTTGGAACTGAACCCAGATGGACATTTCTTCCAACAATTCAATGGTCGTAAGTGTGAAAAATGGTCATGTGTCGCTTTTTTTCAGTGCCGTCGTACCTTCAAATGGTCACTAACTAAACTATTGTAAATCAAGGATACCTGTACCAACACTACCATTATCACAGTGTTTCTCAACCTTGGCAACTTGAAGATGTCCGGACTTCAACTCCCAGAATTTCCCAGCCAGCATTGCCAAGGTTGAGAAACACTGCATTATCATTTCCTAGCTGCTCAACACCCAACATTCTCTGGGTGGCTTAGTGCTGTTCTTTCTCAATCTCGGCAACTTGAAGATATGTGGGCTTATCTCCTAGATTTCCCCAGTCAACTGGGATGGACTTTGATTCTGAGACTCCAGCTGAGGTTAAAAAATCCTGTCTTAGTCTTTCAAGGGTCTCAAGACTTAGCTGTTTTTTCTCTGAATTTGTACACACACACACACACACACACACACACACACACACACACACACGGCCCCAGCAAAACAACATGTGCATGTTTTACCCAAGGAAGGAAAGATGGAAATGATAAAAGGTTTGATTCAAAAGTGAGAGAAGCTTTTGGAAACCTGCCTAATAAAATTTAGCAGTCAGATTAACCCGCAGGTTAATCCTCCAACACATTAAGCAACAAACCAGGTTCACAAACCACCTTGATCCAACCAGGGCTGTGCTGTATCAAGGGATTACAAAACCCATTCAGGAAAAGTGCTCTATAGCAACATTCACACAGCAAGAAAATTTGGGTAAGTGAGCCCATCGCAACCAGAAAGCCACTTGGGTTAGCCTAGGGCAGCGTTTCCCAAACTTGGCAGCTTGGAAATGTGAAGACATCAACTCCCCAAATTCTGGGAGTCCAAATCAACACATCTTACAGAACATACAGAATAACAAAAGTTGGAAGGGATCTTCAGAGGTCTTCTAGTCCAACCCCCTGCTCAAGCAGGAGACTACAACATTTCAGACAAGTTAGCTGTCCAGTCTCGTCTTCTTAAAAGCCTTCAGCTATGAAGCAACCACAACTTCTGAAGGCAAGGTGATTACCCGTAATTTTAGTTAATTGTTCTCACTGTTATCTTCAAGTTGCCAACTTTGCAAACACTGCCTTAAGGGTTCCAAGTTGTTGGAAGAAAAATCCATCTGGTCCAGTTCCAAGCTGGAAATAAAATGGAAGGCTAACTGGAAAGAAAGGTTGGTTTATTGATGGAAGCAGAACCACCAACCGCATGTGATTCTGGGACACTGACAAAATGGAGTTTAGAGTGGGTGGGTTTTTAGACCGTTTGGATTTCTATGGGGTCATGGATAGCTCTGTAAGCAAAAGGGGAAATGCAAAGCCTAGGTCCATGATGGCGAACCTATGACACATGTACCCAAAGTGGCATGCAAAGCCATGTTGCCCAGCACGCATGGCCTTGCCTGTTTGTCTTCCGGGTTTCTGGCGAGCATGCATGTGTGATTAGCTATCCTTTGTGCACATGGCAGCACTGAAAACCAGTATGTGCATACGTGCCAGCCAGCTTATTGTCAGGTGTGCATGGGCACCAGAACCTGGAAATTCGGCTTTTCCGGAGGATGATCCCTTCGCATGCGCAGCAGTGCCAAAAAATGGCCTGAGCATATGCACCGGCCAGCTGATCGTTGGGTGCGCATGCGAACTAGAACCCAAAAGTTTGGCTTTTCCAGTGTGGCCCTAATGAGCGCGCACACGCAGTGTTTCTGCGCAGTTTGCCATCCCTGTCCTAGGTGTTTGAGCTAATTTTGTCAACCTTTGGCTTGATTGTGTTCCTTATCTGAAGTTTCTGCCTCAGCCAGACAGCCAACTTGTCTGAAATGGTGTAGTCTCTTGCTTGAGCAGAGGGTTGGACTAGAAGACCTCTGAAGGTCCCTTCCAACTCTTGTTATTAGGTATGTTATGAATGGATGACCAAATCTCCATTTCTATAAATTGGCTCCTCCAGTTTCTGTTTGGGGCAGGGAAACTGGGGCTGGTTTCTGCCTCAACATTTTTTCCCCCTTTCTCCTTTAGGGGAAATTATTTTATCCTGCCTTTTTCATATTCCCCCAAATACTTCATTTTTCTAGGATGGGGAGGGAGTGGGGGCTTTCCACAAAGTATTTGATAAACCCAGAACATGAATGATTAAACGTGTTAAAGTGTGAAGGTGGGCGGAATAACACCTACACATTCACTCGGGCCGCTGCTTTTGAGTGCTTAGATGCAAACCACAGGAGAAATACACCACATTACATTGAGTAATCTCCAACAAGATAACTTCTCAGGGGGAACAAAAGGGGAGGTGGGAAAACAACACCTCATTTTGCCCTTTTATAGCGTTGACGCTCGCGAAGCCCCACCCACTGGGGTGAGTGACAGCTGATCCGCCCACCTTCGTGCTCTACGCGAGGGTCTTCTCGTCCAATCAACTAGACCGGGGGTGGAGGGGCGGGGAGAAAGAGGAAGGGCGTTCCCGCGCGACAAAGAAGGAAGGTTCCAATGGCGGCCAGTTACCCGTATGGACAGGTAAGGAGGAGAAGGAAGAGGAGGAGGCGGGCACGCGCGCGATAAAGGCGTCAGGATCACCCCGCCGCAGTGGCTGACGGGATCCCCCTTAACTGAAGCGAGCGTTGAGTGGGCTCTCTATTGGAGGGGCTGGAAGTTGCCTTGGCAACCTGAAAAGGGCGGGGAGAGCGGAGAGGATCATAGGCACCGGCAAGGAAACCAATCACGCTTTGCAGGGGCGCAGTGACGTCATGGCCACGTCAATGGAGTCCTGTAGTGATGTCATTGAGGTTGCGGGGAGATGGGGGCTCTTGTGGAATGGAGGGGAAGGAAGGAAGCTCCCCAAAACAAGGTTGGGAAGTGTTTTCTTTGGACGGGGAATTATGGGAGTTGAAGTCCACTTCTGCTGGCTGGAGCATTCTGGGAGTTGAAGTCTGCCCATCTTAACAGTGGCTGAATGAAGTCTGGTCACTTAGTTAATTAAGGCTCAGGATGTGATGCAAGCACTTGATGTACTTTTTGTTTTGTTTTTTATTTTTATTTATTTTAATTGAAAAGACAGTGCCATGTCAGGATAACAATTATAAATAAAGCTAAGCCAAAGAAAAGTTAATAATAAATCTTAACACACAAGCAAACTCTAACATTAATATAATAACAGTAATTATCATAGCATGACCAAAAAAAATAGAAAAAGAGCTTTAACTACATTTGTATTTACATTAGCCTATTTACAATTTTTTCCTTACTACAATCATAGTTTTATACATCTTTATTTTCCATACTAACAATTATTGACCTTCGTAAACTTATTTTCCCTCATTTCTACCTCTTGTCTATCCATTCATAAAATTTATTCCCTGTCCAATAACATTTCGAGTATTTCTTTATCTTTAGTTTTTCAGGTTAATCTATCCATTTCAGCACAATCCCAAATTTTCCTAATTATATCCTCATCCGGTGGGGTGTTCACGTTTTTCCAATATTTAGCATGCATAATTTCTGCTGCCATCAATATGTGGGAAATATATGGCTGCTTTATCATAAGTTTCCAATAGGATACCTAAGAGGCAGGTTTCTGGTTTGAACTCAATACGTTGCTCAGTTATCATTTCCAATTGTTGGACGAAATGTCCTTCGGGGTTCAGCTCCAAGTGTGGGAAAAGACACTGGAAACATGGAGGGTGCTTTGAAAGATGATTTAATGGGGGACAGGACCACATGGCTTGAACTCCTGAACAGAAGAGGGGGATTCCATGCTTCCAGATGTTGGGTGAAGAAGAAAAAAGAGTGAGATGCTGAAAGTTCCTGGCTTTATACTCTCTGCTCGGCCCCACCTCTCTGTTTCTTGTTCCTGTATAAGAAAATGTATTCTGATTGGTTGTCAGACTCCCATGGGGCCATGCAGGGGCAACTCTTTAGACTGTGTTTGGAGTCCAAGTTTGAGTTTCCAGATGCCATGTGGTGAGTTTCTGTGGAAGGCTAATCCTTCCTTTATTATGTAAAGTAGACTAGCTCAGGCTTTAATGGCTCATTGACAAAGTGGGAGGGCAGGAAGCTGCAGGGAACTACTCTGTCTTTAAAAACATGTTTCTCCCTTTTCACATGTAATATAATATATGTTATATAATATTCTGCCTTCTCAACATTTCCTAGGATATTTCATTTTTCTAGAACTGAGGGGTGTGTGTGCTAACTTCCTACAGTTGTAGGCAACTTTGGAGGAGCATTGCATATTCTGCCTGGAGCTGCACAAAACAGGGTATGATATAACCCTAACAATAACATCATTACTGGGGCTGTGGTGCCATCAAGCCCCCCTTTGATGGAGTAATTAAAAGGGACCCCAAATGCAGCAAGTTATACTTACAACAGACTGAAATCAGTGAAGTAAACACAAATCACCATCTTGAGGGAAGCACCACCCAACCTCAGAGTCTAAAATTTCCTAACTGCATCACATTCCCTTGAACCCAGAGGGACGTTAAGCCTGAGGACATACAGTATACACAGGGCAGGCAGTTACATTTGCTTTCTCCTGTTGAAAGAAATGTCCTTCTGGGTTCGGCTCCAAGTGGGGAAGAAG